CCACACGATGTCTAGAGGTCAACAACGATACACATAAGTATACGATATCTAGAGACCAGCAACGATACACATAACCAAACAATATCTGAGGTAAACAACGATACACATAAACACACGATGTCTAGAGGTCAACAACGATACACAAAACTTTACGATATCTAGGGACCAGCAACGATACACATAACCAAACAATATATGAGGTAAACAACGATACACATAACCACACGATGTCTAGAGGTCTACAACGATACACATAACTATACGATTTCTAGGGACCAGCAACGATACACATTACCAAACAATATCTGAGGTAAACAACGATATGCATAACCAGACTGTGTCTTTACAGAATGTCAAACGCTAAATCGCTCTAGTTTTAAATGTACTTTAAAAGGTCTAACATTAACACCAAATTATCCAAATATCAAAAATTTTAAAATACGACATTAGACAACAAATGACGAAGTTCCTGATTTGGGGCCGGCACATGAACATTCTTGCGAGTTAAACTTGTTTCTGTGATCTCCACACTCGCACTATTTAATCTTGATCAGTGAACAAAGAATATGCACATTAAAAGAACATACAATAAAAATAAGTTCAGGGATAGACCTTAACTGTATAATAACAATAGGTCGCATAAACACAAACAAAGCAATAATAAACAATTATGTTGCAAAGAATGCTTATAGTTACGGAAAGTAAGTGCAAAGTTCTCAACCTGTATATATGAAACCATGCCGTACTTAGGTTTTTTACCCCGTAAATATTCAGCATGCCTTCGGAATATACAAATACCGGACGGAGACCAGACTTTATATTATATATGCCATCCTACACACTTATATCGGTGGCTTTACTTTACAGTATATTTTATACAGCAGCGCCATGAGCAGCACAGGAAGTGTACGGTCTTATGCAATTCACAAAACAAAAATGTGCAGAATTCTAATACAGAACAAGAGCGCACACGCTGAAATGTTTCGCCTGCTTTACTTAGCATGTGTGAATTTATGCTGAAAGTCAATAATATGAAGGTTTATCTTCAGCTATCGCATCTATTAAGCATTAACAAAAATCCATGTAAATGAGGTCAAGGTCAGAACCTTGCCAGAGAGAAATTTACACCTGACAATTATACCAAATATAGTAAGCCTATTCCTTGATGTGTCTTAGAAACGGTCCTCGTTACGAAAATTGAACAATGAACCATAACAATGAGGTCAATGCTAGATGAACACTGCCAGACAACACAAAAACCATAAAATCATTCCATACACCAAATATAGTTGACCTTTTGCTTATAGTATCTGAGAAACAGACATAACCATGAAAACTCAACATTGACTACTGAACCATGAAAATGAATTCATGGTCAGATTAACCAAGCCAGACAGACATGTACACCGTAAAATCATTCCAAACACCAAATATCGAAAAACAAATAACATTGTCTAATGAACCATTGAAAAAAAAATCAAGGTCAGATCAGACCTGCCAGACGGACATGTACACCTTACACTCATTCCATATGCCAAATACAGCTGATCTATTGCTAATAGTACCTGAGAAACAGAATAAACCACAACCAAACTAAACCTTTTTTTTTCTTGAAGAAGTTAAAGCATTGAAATAAGGTCAAGGAAAATGGATAAATGACAGACGGAAACTTCTTAACATACGGCATCTGCATACAAGGTATGAAGCATCCAGGTCTTCTACTTTCTGAAATATAAAGCTGTATACAAATAGTTTATGCCGCCACCGTCGCCGCTGGATAGTAATCTATTATGTATGGCATTCTGCGACATTCGCAGACGAGACGAAAACCAACAAAATATTTCAGTTTTTATTACTACCATAAAATAGCTAATTGATGTTGATCCCAAAAATATAAGACGCAATGATTCAACAGCAAAATTATAATTATTATCTGTGTCAATAAGTCTATTAAGTCGAAAAGAAAGATGTAAAGAACAATTCATAATCTTGTTAGCTTCACATGAATAACAATGCCGTATAGAACTGTCTCTGAAATATCTCTTTTCATTGAATTATTCCAAATGGTAAAATCATACTTCTACATTAAATCTCTATAATTTGTGACAAATTAATCATATCTATATCCCGCTGTAAAAGCGGTTTTGTAATGAAAATAATTACGTGCATTTATATCTGAGAAGTCACTGCAAACAAAGGCCAATCGAAACTATTGTGAAATGTACACTCGCAAGGATACACACAACACAGCACCACCAAAAAGCAACGGAAAATTAACAATAGGAAAGGAACAGTTTTTCCGTTTATCGTGGCTTTAGCATGAGAAATTATGATATCAAGGTCTTTTAAAAAAGGACTTGGTTCAATATTGATTTATTAAGTAAAAGACAATTGAGTAGAAACAATTTCATTTTTCTATATTTAGAAAAAAAATCTGTGGGATTTTGGTTATTTTGAATTGTCTATTAGTTTATTACCCATCTTTACAAGACATACTGAAAGCTTAAATCAACGTCTGTTTTTATGTTACACATATCATTCCAAAAAAAAATCACCTTTTTGGATTTAAATGTTAATTCATTTTTGCAACAGTTGAAATTATTTCAGATAAGTATGCCTGAATAAAACACGCTATAAAATCTATCTTGGATTCGTTCAACCTTGATCTGGCTGGCTCTTCTAAAGTTTCTGAAAGGTAACGCTTTACCATGGAATTACCACATCGGAAATATCACGAAGGCAAACAAAACATTAATCTTCATACGACGGAATCTTGGTAAATGCCCAATGATTATAAAACGTCAGGCATATATAACCCTCGCAAGACCAACACTAGAATATGCTAGCAGTGTCTAGGACCCACTTCTCCAAAAACACATACAACAACTGGAAATGGTCCAAAGGAGAGCAGCCATATTTATCAGGCATAAGTAATCTCGAGACCCAGGCATAGTAACATCTTTATCAAAGGACCTAAAACTACCACAATTACAGGAGAGACGAAAAACATCACGTCTACTCTGTTTTTACAAAGTAATCAATCCACCGACTAATTGTCATCCCAATTCCAGAATACTTGATGACACCAGCAAGAATGACGCGTCAGTTCCTTCAAAGACGATTTGTCAGATTAGGATCAAGTTCTGAACAACGAAAACATAGCTTCTTCGTAAGAACCATCACAAACTGGAATGAACTACCGCCTAGCCTATTGGACATTGATTACTATGAGGCATTCAAGACCCACCTTACAGCACACAGATATCCGTAAAACAACACACAAATGTTTTTATTTTTGTTTGGCACCTGTATATATATTTAACACCTGTACATATGATTTTAAAGTGTACATTTTGGATGACACCACAACTTTAATTCAACATATTCGTGTGATGAGTCAACCGACTCTTTACGGATTACCCATGTAGATGTAGATTCTTCTCTCCATGCAGGTTTCGTAGATCTTCCGACAAAGGATGATACGCACTATATTGCTTACTTGTTGTAAATTTTACATTTAATTCAGTACCATTTTCAACCAGTTATTTCAACAATCTTACGAATGTTTAAGGAAAATAATGAATCGTTTATTGTGTTCATGTCTTTCCTCTAGCTTATAAAAAGTCAAGTTCTTGTCGAACACAAAACAACTTTCTACGTAGCCTTTTCTTATTTTTCTTCCAATGATTTAGATATTTTTTTTAGTTTATTGGAGTCACTTTTGGTTTGGGTCGTGGATGGTATTTTCAAAATTTATATTGCATAATGTAATTGGTTATGTCCCTAACCATGATCTCATTTTCATCAAGTTTGTCCTACCTTGGAACTATATAAGTTGTTAGATGTCGACGTCATTGGATTCCCTGAGATGACCACCTAAGAATTTATTTGCCCTACAATCTTTAGCTCAGACATAAACCCAATGAGCTACCCTTAAATAGTTGCTTTCCAAAACTCCAAAAAAATAGAAAACATCATCGTATCAATGTGTATAGGGATTACCATTGAAAAAATATGAACAACATTTGTTCAGAAGTTTATAAGCATTTGCTATCCAATGATTGTTTACTTTCAATGAGAGACCAATACAAATATAGCCATTGTGACAGTTGCTAGTTTTCGTGTCCTTCTATATCTTCTATTGCGTATAAAATATCCCAAAATTGGCTTTGACCAATATTAAAGACATGTTCTCCTGATTAGTTTTAAACAACAGGGGGAAAAGCGCCTGATTGTAATTAATGCTGCTACTTAATTCGGTTTTTATTCCTGTTTTCCAATTTGGAAGCTCTTGTTCATTAATATTCTACACTGAATATCTTGTCATTGGTAATCTTCTTTCACGAAAGCAAAGCATCTAACTGTCATAAAATTTGTAAAGTGATTATTATAAAAAAAGAAGATTTGGTATGATTGCCAATGAGACAACTATAAACAAGAGACCATCTGGTTAATGTCACCGTACGGCCTTTAACAATGAGCAAACCCATTCTGCATAGCAAGCTTAAAAAATGCATTGACAAGACGAAATGTAAAACGAGAAAACCAACGGCCCGATTTATGTACAAACCATTAAACGAAAAACAAATAGGATATACAGCAAAAAACGACAGCAACTGAATAACAAACTTTTGACCCTTAACAGGCACATACATAACATGGCGGTGTAGCACATGTTTGCCAGCGGTGTAACAGCACAACATAAGAACAAAATGTAAAAATCAATTAAAAAGAGCTTGACTCATAAGATCAATACAAAGCACAAAAACAAATAACAAAAAGACTAAAGACACAACCTGCAGACCTGAGAGTTCTTGCAGTTACTGAAAGATAGTTCAAAGCCAATAACAACTTATAAAAAAATCACGTATCCACAACAAAATATAGGAATATTAATCAGTACACATGTCTGCTCGTCCTGAATATGTATGAAATATTTGCCACTGGGTGATAAGCAAACAACAATTAATCAACTACATGTAATTAATCAAGCCAAGAACTGCAATTCAAATTTAATGTTTTTACTTAAGAAAATAACAAGTGCATGTACAATTATGTACTTTAATAAAAACAAATATATCACAGTCGTGCTATAAATGAAAGACTTTTATATCCTTTGGATTTTTAAAAGCTGATCTTGATGTAAGAATTCTGAAAATGTGAAAAGTGATGTGAAATAACATTTAGAACCAGGCATTCTCAGATTGATTTACAAGTAAATGTGTCTGGTCTGTTAAAAAGACACCAATAGATGGTCCAGGCTAAAACATAACAATATTTGAATGTGTTAAAAGACAGTCAATGGTATAAATCAGACTATAATATTTGAAGCCTGTGATTTTTAACAAAGGGAAATTGTGTCGTAAAATCAAATTCTTAGAGGTTAACAACCTTCCTATAGATCGTAAATCTTAGGCACCAATAAAATTTAAATATCATGTGCGTAGTTGTTAATAAAAAGGGAGCATACTAGCATTCAATAATAAACTTATTGCCTTTTCAATGTTAAAAATAAAATTAACAATAATAATGAATTTCTGTAATCCACAGATTAGTTATTGACTTTATACCATTTTGTATGACATCGATATTCGCACTGTTTTCAAACTGACAAAAATAACGAAAAAAGCAATGTTTCTGTCCATTTTTCATCGATAAATTACTCTGAAACGATTCTGTTGTACAATGCTAACATGTAAGCAAAATTAATGACTCTGGCTCGATTGACTATATGACCAGTTTTCTTGTGATTATAGCGCACCTCTTAAATTTTTAACAAAATAGTCGCTGTTAAATCATTTCCAAATTAATTGTTTCAAATGGAAACATTGAGCCTCAAGTTATTAAAGAAAAGACTATTAAAAGAAACAAAACGGTAACATTTGCTCCTACGTGTATAGAAATAATCTAAAATAGATATTTTATAGCTCATGCTATATCGTTATAGCCTAGGAAAACTATCTTTATGTAAACCTTAAAGCGCATCATACAACCATTGTCATAAAACATTGTCGTATTATCATGGAATTGAAGTTCATCTTAGTATACTTTTCAAATAGAAAAAATATTCTGGAATATTATTTTAGCTGGAAGACATATAACAGCATATAATATGTGTTCCAACAGGAACAGATATTCTAGTATTATTTATAAGTTGCCAAAGGAACTTCTGTTAGCAGGAACAAATATACGTCGACAATATGCTTTATGATAATGACAATATATCATATACAGAGTGAACATTTAAATTATAAATGATAGGGCTTTCTATGGAATGTCTTTCTGACTTTTCGATGACCTTGATGTGTATTGTGCTAATACAGAATCTACAGAACCAATACTGACATTTGATTGGTCCGAATCATGTTCTTCATTTTGATTGTTATGTACATCACTTGATGCATACATGGAGGACAAAATCTGAGAATTCTTATTTCCAGATCTTTCTTGTTCATTTCGTAGAGAGTTTAAAACCTTTTTCTTTTTCTTTTTGCGTTTTGTCTTCTTCTCGACTGTATTGTTATTACTGTAAAAAAAATTGCTATGAATGTATAGTATTGATGCATTACAATTTTTACATTTGAAAACAAAATTTCGCGATATCTAGGACCAAACGTGACTGTTCTTGTGTGTGTTTTTTTCTCTCTCTCGCATTTTTACATTGTCACTTATGAACTTCAATAATAAAGATCAAATTTACGCAAGGGAACATGTTTAACTCCGCAACATTTGGTTTGTGACTGTCCCAAGTCAGGACCCCATATAAATTCAGTGTTTGTTGTTTGTTGCTGTCTATCATATTTGATGTTCGTTTATTGTTTTATACACATAGCAGGTCGTTAGTTTTTTTAGTTACATTTGTCATGCTAGGGATTGTATTGCTGGCTATGTGGAATGGTTTTGTTCATTGTTGAAGGCCGTACGGTGATCTATAGTTAATAAATTAATTCTGTATCATTTGGTTTCTGGTAGAAGATATCTCATTGGTAGTCATACCACATCCTCTTATTTTCATATCAAGAAATGTCAACTCCAATTTATTTTTCTAATGGCTGTATATTTCTAATCTTATTAAATTAATTTGTTTTTAAAATTTAATAAAAAAAAAGTCCAGTAAATATGATTATTCACAATTTCCGTGTTTTTTATGTATACAATAAAAGTACAAGATCAAATGAAAAAAAAACAATTTGAATTTGCCTTCGTGACTTTATTTTGGCAAAATTGTTAATCTTTGCTACATATCATTTGATTTTTAATTTTTTTACCTCAAGCATCATTTGTATTTGGTTGTTCCTTTGATATATACAAACAATAGAAAAATAGTTGTTTTTGGTACGAGCGTATTGCACTTGCGCCAATTTTGAAAAAATCTTTTGCACCAAAACTGTATATTTTCCTTGCGCCATTTTGGAACAGGTTCTTGATAATTAACCGTTTAATATGTTAATCTAAAGACAGCAGGTCAGTGGTTGTCGAAGGTTTAGATGTAAATACTGGAAAAGCTCATTGATTTAACAAATATTGATGCGACAAGATGGATCTTTCGCACACCGAGACAAACCGAGTTAAATATTCAATAATCTTTGGTGGACATTCTTGTCGGTCATGAAAACGAGGAATTTGTTTATGATAAGTACCAGATGTATGGTAGAGGTGAAATTACATGGTCACGGTGTATTAGAATTAGTGATTACAAATACTTATCAGAATCATGTTAAAACACTGTTTTATGTCAAACTGTTATAGGGTATAAACTGTTCTAAAGGTGTCAGGAAAAACAGTTTCTGGCAGATTTTAAGAGAGGAAAGAACTGATTTCAACTGCAATGTCACCAATGACTCATTAAGAGTTCCCTTCACGGGGTTTACTGCCGGAAGGAAGAAGTCTAGGTGACCATATTCAAGTGAAATTGAAATTAAGGGCGCTGCATAGACTTGAATTTCAGCCTCGTATTCCTTGAAATTGACCCTGATTGACAACTCAAAACTTAGAAAAATTGATCATTTCACAAACAGAGTTTTTTTTCCAATCCAAACACTACTCCTTGAATATGTGGAATGGAAAGACTGAAATTATCATTTCACAAGTTATACCGTCTCCAACACCAATGGTTACAAGATTTTAGTTTCTAAAGTTATACGACATATTTCCACTCATTCATAGTCCCACATGTCCACTGTTTCCCATTTAGCATTACTGCAGTCAAGAAGACTGATGTGATGCATCTTCTTATGTGATGTGGTGGCGGTATATTTATAACAAGAGAAATAATTGGCATCTTCTTATATCTATGAAACATTTATTTTGAAAATGAGTGAGCAATCAATTTTTTGGCTTTGAATTTAGGCAAATTTTTTTTTAGCTAAGGTTGCAATTTTGGACCAATAAAATTGACTCCAAATAGCCTAATATTTGTTTTACTTAGAAATTCAGTATTTCCGGTCTTTGAATATGTAATTTCACAAAATTTTGAAGACGTATACCTCATCAGGCCAGAACATTGATAAATCCATTACGTGTGTCAAATTAGCCTACTATCTGACTTTACATAAAAAGGCCGGTGTGATTTAATTTGGTCACCTTCTTAGTAAAAATTGAATTTAAGTATAATTATTTAAGAAAACGTACATAACATTCAAAAGATGACATACATGTATTTATCCTGATTTACCCCTGAAAACATTAAGAGTCTTGTGATTCTTCATCACGCACAATTACTCAGTCCTTAGTTGCGTCACATTCGCCACCAGCACTGTGCTGGTATAGTCATTTTATTGGCCTTGACACTACCAACCAGATTTTATTCTGGAATCGTGTGACAGGTGGGGATTTGCTTACTCAGAATCGACACAAACTGACATGTTCATTTTTTGGCGTCATACTGGATTGTAAGATAAATGATCATCGTCTCGTGTACATTTGAAACAGACGACCAGAAAGGAGATAAGTTTACAAAGTGCACAATGTTTGAGAAAAGGAGAGTTTACACCAAAACTGATGACATCATCTATACTTTAAGAGTGTTAAGAGTGTAACACTTTTTCTAATGAAAGAAAATTCTTCTTACTTGAAAAATGAAGGTTAAAACTTTGTATACTTTTACCTCTGTTTTTCTGTTTCCACTGGGTTGCTGGTCTCAGTTACTCTATTTTCACTTTCTTTATTTTTTTTCTTTTTCTTGTCACTTTCGCATTCCGAATTATGGGTGGATTTAGTGTTTTGATCCTTATTTTGATTAATCTCGTAAAGGGATTCCGAAACCAATGTCTTACTAATCACTGTTTCGTTATCAGATAGTTTTTCTTTCTGATTTCTTTTCTTGCCTCTTTTTTTCTTCCTCCTAAACTCCTGAAGAGCTTCATATGACTTCACAACTTCAAAGTGGTTTGTACCTGCATCGTTCGAATCTTCATCGAATGAGTCAGTGTTAACTGGTCTGAGGTTACGACTCCTAGGGGACGAAATTATATCAAACTTTCGCTCAATACTACCTGTCAACGATTTTCTCAGTTCAGATTCGCTAGCTGTACCATCCGTCTCTGATTCGGGTTTAACTTCTGTTTTTGGTGGAATATTGTCCATCCTATCTCGCTCTGTGGCTAAACCGTTTTGCCTGGATTTTGAATTATTTTCACTTTGAGGATCTTTCACCTTTTCACCTTTTAAACTCCCAGACCTACTTCTGTCAGACCGCAAGTGGCGAGCAGAACCCATCGGTGATAAATGCATTTCTAAATCTGGAGAAATAAACGGTTTCCAATGAAACCTTAGTAAACAACCAAGTAAAAGCAAAATAAATGCTATTCCCAAGATTATAATTCCAACAACATGTAGAGCACCGTATTTCGGGAAGGCATTTTTTTCTGCGAAAGCTACAAACGTAATCGTAAAGCCCGGTATCATCATTGGAATTGCAATTGTTATCATACAGGGTCCAATCATAGATTTGATTTGATCACACCAATATTTCTTTTTTTCATCTTCTGTTGACATTGTTCTCAAATTTGTAATTATGTCTGATGTTACTGGTTACCTGTTTAGAAATCAAATATTTACTAGATCAATAGGGAGAAAAATGACTTCAAGTAAGTATATAGTAAAGTTCTTAGAAATCATTGGTAATCAATGCTGGCTGGTATAGCGAAGATAATTAATTTATATTGTTTCTCTCATTTCTACAAGAATTATTGATAATCAATTACGTATTCATCTTTTACCCTGATAAGTCTTTGACTCATTGTCCAAAGGGGCCAGATATTTGCCTTTGATCACCAAATAAATCACGGTACTAATCTACAAGGCTAAATAAACAAGTCATTAAGGGAATGACTTTTGGCCAAAATTTTGACTTCCAAAAGTATATAGGCTCTTAAGAGCCAATGATTAATAAGCTGGATAATGTAAACTGCTAACGTTTATTTCCATTGAAGGAACTGATGTACATATATCTTTGATTAAAAATATCCAACAAAGAGACCATTTTGGATTTTAAATCGTCACCAAAATCATATAGTTGAGGAATAGAGTTTTTATCGTTATCAAATACGAAAATTTTTCAGGAAAATTAAAGTTGTGTGCGAGTATTTCCGGGTACGAATATGAAACTTTTATTTCGATTCGGTTCACACATAATTGATTACAGTTCAAACATAAGCTCTTGGGAGCTTTTTACCGAATAAAGATAACATATACATAACATAAAGAGCATGCAGATAAAATATTTATCATGTGTAGGTAGCATATGAGCTGCGTCGGATAGAAATCGACCTTATGCAAATGAATATCAATACATTTGTTAACCTTTTTCGGGTTGAAAAAGCTCTATGCAAATTCTGTAACTGCTTGAAAATTGAGTTGATTTTAGAAACCTACAAAACAGACCCAATTCATCTTTTATTTCGTATTTGAATGTTTCAAAAATCAATCAAAGTTTTATACATGTACATGTATACGTGCTCTTGCAAAAGATCGATTTCTATCCGACGCAGCTCATATATTAAAATGCATAGATACAGCACAGGCATATTGAATTACATGCAAAGCACTTCTTAAAATTTTTAACCACATTTAAAAATGCTAAAACTGAAGCATATTTAAAATTTATCTATTATTATTGCTAATGAAACTTTTTATTTAAGATGGTTAACAAAGTTGCAAACTTTAAAGTCTATCACATCACCATTAACACATTATCATAATGCTCAAGTCATATATAAGAATCAGCTTTTTTCTCTATGAATTTTTTTTTTTACCCGATTTGTGATAATCAATCAGAAGCAATAAGTTGGCCATAAGAATGTCTTGAATTTCGACAACATCACAAAATCTGATGAGGTCCATCTAAGCAACATTTCAACTTAGTTTGGTTACAATAGCTGATGGATTCTTATGACCAGGTGAGCTAAGAACGTCAGTGTGGTCCACAAAATATTGTTCACGTATACAGAGGGTTTTTGAGAATTTAACCTACATTGATGGATTCAATGATAGTGTCAATACTGTATGTGTGTGGTCTTAAGCTTGTTGTAACATGACAACTGTACAAATACTGAGTGATAATAGAAACGCAACACCTACTTAAATTTTCCATTTAATAAATATTCATACATACACTACAGATCTTCCATGGAAGTTGACCAATCTTTGTAAGGTTTTATAGATTTCTTCAATCTGATTAAAATACAGATCCTGTATCCAAGCTTCGCTTACAAGGTTCTGAAAACATTCAGTTCTACTTTCTGTTTTAAAGACCTTTCAGGATCCTCTGGTTTAGTCGGATTAATACACACCTTCAAACATTTGACGACTATAGAATTTCATTAGCTCATGTCATCATGTAATAATTACCAGAACAGAAAGTTGTCAGATCCGTGTAAGCAAAGCTTGAATACAGGATCTGTATTTTTGTCAAATTCAGATTTCTTAGGACATGCATACAAAGCATGTCAACCGTATAACTAAGTCCTATATCGAACTTCAAGGTGATGAAAACGTATGCATCTGGTTACACGTTGCTTAAACGGTGAGGCCAAACTGGATGGGTATCATGTAGCAAAATATTTGAAGACTGTCTTTAAAGAACTATTTTGTTTTTCATTCAAAAAGAGGACCGTTGGGAACTAGGAATGTGATATGCTACGTTTCCAACGGCCCTCAGTATATATTTCTATATTAAACTTAAAACAAGCTTACTTCAAACTGCAAATACTTTTTCAATATCAGTTGGATTTTTCTTTTCTTTTCTTTTTTTTGTTGTTGTATATTAGAGATTAGAAAAAAAGAAAATGGAGAGAAAATGTTTAAAACCTTGTCAAAAATAACGTAGCAAAAATAACCTCAAGATCTCACACTAAATATTACACGACAGTAAAAATATCATAACAGAAAATTTATCCTCTTGAGGTTATCACTATGATTTCACAGTCTTTAAGTAAGACAATTTATTACACTACTTACCGGTAAATGTCAACAATATACATTATGTCAGCCATGTTTCTTGTAATAGTTTTAAATTTATTTATTGAATGCAAAATTTAAATATCTCCGACAAAAAACCAGTGAAGCATACTGTAAACTGTCATTAAAAGAAAGACAACTCTACCATCATACTAGTTTGCTATCATTTAATTAATCCATCGTCAACGTCGGACTGCTTTGGTATCAATTCGATTTCGCTTGACATTTTTGCTGAGTAAAAAAAAACTGAAACATTGTTTTTATACATTGACTTTCGAAATTGCCACACGAAATAAGTGTTAACATTTCTTATTTATCAATTTTAGTTATACAATATACATAAACTGACGTGAACGCTTTTCAATAATATTCTTTTTTATGCCCCACCTACGATATTAGAGGGGCATTATGTTTTTCGGTCTATGCGTCCGTTCGTTCGTTCGTCTGTCCGTCCGTCCGTCCGGCCGTCTGTCTGTCCCGCTTCAGGTTAAAGTTTTTGGTCAAGGCAGTTTTTGATGAAGTTGAAGTCCAATCAACTTGAAACTTAGTACACATGTTCCCTATGATATGATCTGTCTAATTTTAATGCCAAATTAGAGTTTTGATCCAAATTTCACGGTCCACTGAACATAGAAAATGATAGTGCGAGTGGGGAATCCGTGTACTATGGACACATTCTTGTTTATATATAAAATAATGTAAATGTTAACGACAGTCTGAATGTTCAAAAAAAAGAAAGAAATACAAATACAACTCAGTGAACGAAACTGCAGACACAAGAACGTCTGTTTGATCAAATGATATTTTACTAAGAGATTAACAGAATTATACGAACCTAGAATCAATGACATACGCGAGGATTTCAATGTTCATTTTCAACTTTCTCTCCGTGAAATTATGTCATCTGGTCTAACCAAAAGTATCTCAGTTGATCAATACGACGGTTAATTCAAGAAGTCAACGCATTAGATATCACTTACAAGAGGAAATGCTTACTGTGTCAACGCCTCAGATATCACTTACAGGAGGAAATACTTACCCTGTAAACGAATCAGGTATCACTTACAACAGGAAATGCTTACCTTGTCAATACACCAGATATCACTTACGGGAGGAAATGCTTACCCTGTCGTTGCATCAGATATTACTTATATCATAAAATGCTTACCCTATCAACGAATCAGATATCACTTACAACAGGAATGCTTACCCTGTCAACGCATTAGATATAACTTACAGCGGGAAATGCTGACACCGTCAACGCATTAGATTCACATCATTTTTGGTCATGTGATTTCGACTGTTTTCACTATAACCTTATTTATCTTTCTCTATTCTGAACTAACTTTGGTACATTTCTTTCATACTTGCTTGATAAAGCAATTTGCGTAGGAATACTGAAATGGGTAAAACAATGCTTGTATTTAAAAAAAATGTCACCATCGAAGGTATAGAAGTTTTGGCGTATTATTCTACATAAATGAATGATTATACACACAGGTGATATCTGAGTGTGCTGCAAAGGAATGCTGGTAATAAAATTATACCCTTTTTCCCATTCTTTGTGGAAAAGACATCATTGTACATCGTGTAACACTGTTTGTTATTGTTATGAATCTCTGTAACTTTTCAAATAAAGCCAAACTATAGTAACTGTAACAAGTTATCAAATAAAGAAGCCAGACTATAGTAACTGTACAAGTTATCAAATAAAGCCAGACTATAGTAACTGTACAAGTTATCAAATAAAGCCAGACTATAGTAACTGTAACAAGTTATCAAATAAAGCCAGACTATAGTAACTGTAACAAGTTATCAAATAGAGCCAGACTATAGTAACTGTAACAAGTGATCAAATAAAGCCAGACTATAGTAACTGTAACCAGTTATCAAATAAAGCCAGACTATAGTAACTGTAACAAGTTATCAAATAGAGCCAGACTATAGTAACTGTAACAAGTTATCAAATAAAGCCAGACTATAGTAACTGTAACAAGTTATCAAATAAAGCCAGACTATAGTAACTGTAACAAGTTATCAAATAGAGCCAGACTATAGTAACTGTAACAAGTTATCAAATAAAGAAGCCAGACTATAGTTACTGTAACAAGTGATCAAATAAAGCCAGACTATAGTAACTGTAACAAGTGATCAAATAAAGCCAGACTATAGTAACTGTAACAAGTTATCAAATAAAGAAGCCAGACTATAGTAACTGTAACAAGTGATCAAATAAAGCCAGACTATAGTAACTGTAACCAGTTATCAAATAAAGCCAGACTATAGTAACTGTAACAAGTGATCAAATAAAGCCAGACTATAGTAACTGTAACAAGTGATCAAATAAAGCCAGACTATAGTAACTGTAACCAGTTATCAAATAAAGCCAGACTATAGTAACTGTAACAAGTTATCAAATAGAGCCAGACTATAGTAACTGTAACAAGTTATCAAATAAAGAAGCCAGACTATAGTAACTGTAACAAGTGATCAAATAAAGCCAGACTATAGTAACTGTAACAAGTGATCAAATAAAGCCAGACTATAGTAACTGTAACAAGTTATCAAATAAAGAAGCCAGACTATAGTAACTGTAACAAGTGATCAAATAAAGCCAGACTATAGTAACTGTAACTAGTGATCAAATAAAGAAGCCAGACTATAGTAACTGTAACTTGTTATCAAATAAAGCCAGACTATAGTAACTGTAACAAGTTATCAAATAAAGCCAGACTTTAGTAACTGTAACAAGTGATCAAATAAAGCCAGACTATAGTAACTGTAACAAGTTATCAAATAAAGCCAGACTTTAGTAACTGTAACCAGTTATCAAATCAGTTGATTGCTGTTACCAAATTTGAAAAAAAATACATTGGTTTATTTGAATCCGTTGCTCTCAGATCTGAGAAAAAAATGAACGATTTGTAGACACTTCTGAAAAACAAGGAGCTTATGAAGCCTATAATAAACAGCTAGGCCAAATCGCATGATACGCCCTTCTGATGCATATCAAAATTGTTGCGAGAATAAAATGGAGTATTTAGGAGGCATCTTATAAGAAAATAGAAAAATTGATCTGTTAAAAACCTTGTATGAGGTTATCCTGAGGCGTATAAATATTGGCCAAAAAATTACTTTTGAAAGTCCCAAAACTTTGTAGCGACAAACCAGAAAATTTCCAAAAATCAAGAGACAGCCTACGATTACCAATCCTAACAATAGTGTAAAGTGTGTAGTAATTGGATCCAACCATGTAATTAGCCAGAGCTAGTGCGTGGCATGTACAAAAATGCCTGAATTCTGACAGTTCAAGCCCCATTACTCTGGATTTGTAAATCTGAAAATTTTCAAAATCAAAAGGTTTCTTACTAACACATTCCAATATTTTTGTAAAGTTTCCAATAAATGAATGCAAACATACTCAAGTTGCAATACAACAAATGAAAATGTTACTCAAAGGAAAGTATACGTAATTGCACGGTAATTCATATTTTTAGGAAATTTTGTATGCATTTTCACGAATGTAACCTACCGAATTAGACTATTTACCGGATTTGTAATAACATAAGCAACACGACGGGTGCCACATGTGGAGCAGGATCTGCTTACCCTTCCGGAGCACCTGAGATCACCCCCAGTTTTTGGTGGGGTTCGTGTTACTTAGTCTTTAGTTTTCTATGTTGTGTCATCTGTACTATTATTTGTCTGTTTGTCTTTTTTTAATTTTTGGCCATGGCGTTGTCAGTTTGTTTTCGATCTGTGAGTTTGACTGTCCCTCTGGTATCTTTCGTCCCTCTTTTAGGCTTGTTGAATGTAGAAAAAAATATATGTAGCTTTTAAAGTGTTTACAAACGAACAGACGGGCAAACGAGCAAAGAACGATATACTATAGTATATCTCGTCTAAGACTGTCGTATACAAATGCTTTTGTTAGTCAATCATTTACTGATAAGGCGTAAGTTATTGAATACGGGAATTCATGTTTCTAGATTACTAGTTTAACAAATTCTATTTGGCCGTAAACAATGCTGAAATAGATTGAAAATTTTCAAATAACACAATAAACTACTGGCAGTATCGATGATAGTGTACAGGGGCCCTTTAATATGCAAGGTCTATTTTTCGGGTTTTTGACTTAGGGCGTTCCTGATGCAAATGGGTCCAGCGGTGCAATTCGGATGCATGAGGTTTTTATAGTGCTGTTTTCATTTTCTTAACCCTTGTATTTATATTTACTTAATTTATACTTTGTCAAGAAGGTGTATACTAGTATGGCATTATGTTTAAATGTGTACTATCAACTACAACAACTGTTTATGCTGGCCTCTTTGTCAAATTTATTTGTTAAACTGTGTGTATAACAAATAAATGTGTTTGTTTGAATATTTTAGTCAGTTCAGTTGCATGTCTGTGATGTATGTTTACATGCTTTGCTGCTGGATCCCAATGACTTGAATTGTCGCATTAACCAATTATGTCTGTTTGGGTTGCTCAACCAATTTTGTCAATATAACGGAACTATTAACAACTGTTATACAAGAAAGAGGTTGGGCTATCTATATCTGTGTTTAACCCAAAATTTTCTTCGGAAAAGACACCCACCAAGTCAGGAATATGACAGTGATTTCCATTCGTTCCCTTGGTTCATAAAGTCTAACGTTTGATTTCGTCAGGTTTTATGGACTTTCCCCTCTTTGAATTTTCCTTGGAGTTTGGTATATTTGTTAATACTTTTTAAAAATTTTGTTTATAGTTGATAACAATGTAAATGGTCATTAAAACTTCCTACCCATGTGAAAATATTATACATGTATACATCTTTACTTTTCAAACTTATGTCTCTCAGCTTTCATGATGATTGAATCATTGATTGTTGTTTACTGTAACGTCCAATGGCAAATATTTTAGGCATATTCATGGAAAGAACAAATGAAAACGTAGGTAGTATAAAGTGGACCGACAGGGATAATTACGGGGAATTTTAACTGTCACTTGAAGAAGAGGGTATGCTGCAAAAGTGTGTAGCCCTGCAAAAGTTTGTAGCCTTGCAACAGGCAACTACGGACTACTCAAAGAGTTATTGCATTTTTCTAGAACGTGTTATTATCCCTTCACGGAG